GACTCAAGCAATCCTCCCGCCTTGGCCTCCCAAAGTGTTGTGAAGATTAAATGAGTTAATACATAAAGTGATTTAAATGCTGCCTGACACAAAGAAGGCACTCAATAAATAGTAACTTTTATAGTTGTGTGTGCCTTATATGTTACTTGTTTTCGTAGCAGAATTGTAACATCCTGGCTTACATGTGTGAGCCATCATACCTGGCCCAAATTTAGAAACGTGTAATATGTACTGAATCGTAGTTAGCCTTATAGCACTTAATATTGTATGTTGGAACCTTCTAAACTTGGTTATGTAACTTCAACGCAAAAGTCATCTGGTATACCACACAATGTCACCTACCGGGTAGTCAAAGCGTTTACCATTTTACAGTGAGTGAGATGAAGCAGAAAGGGTACATCTTAGAAGACAGAGCACAAGGCAGCCACATTTACAGAGGAAGCAGTGAGGTAAATGTGTCCCTCTTAGAGAAGTACCAAGAAATAAAAATTAAGCAAGGCATCCCTCAGCCGGCCATCTAGTATGTTCTCCATAAATGGAGAATAAAACCTTACAGCCTTAACCTGTTACAAGCCTTGATGGAGACAACTAAAGCAAAATGATGCAAGTTTTGCTGCAGATTTCAGGGTCACAGGGAGGTGGAAATGACTGTCAGTGATGAGGCTACATTTTATTTAAGTAGAAATCTGAATCACTATAACCGCCATGGATAGAGCACTGAACACCAATATTTCGTAATTGAACTTGCAAGGGATTCACTCAAAGTGAATGTCTTCCGTTGCCATGTGAAGCACACAGGTCTCATCAGTTCCTTGTAGGAGATACTATCAAAAGCATCTATTTTGGGACATGCTTATGGAGTGTTTTTCCCTACAGCTAAAGAAAGCTCCAACTACCCCATTTTCCTTCAGGATGAGGCTCTGCCTCACTTCCATTATGCAGTCCTGAGGTTCCTAATGAACGCATATCCTGATAGGGATCAGACACTGTTCAAAAGATTGACCTGCCTGGCTGAGCGCGTTGTCTCATGACTGTAATCCCAGCACTTCGTGAGGCTGTGGCGGGCAGATCACTTGAGGCCAGGAGTTTGAGACCAGCCTGGGCAACATGGTGAGACCCTGTGTATACTAAAAACACAAAAATTAGCTAGGCATGGTGGTACGCACCTGTAGTCCCAGCTACGAAGGCTGAGGCATGAGAATTGCTTGAACTTGGGAGTTGGAGGTTGCAGTGAGCCGAGATTACACCACTGCACTCCAGTCTATGTCATAGAGCAAGATTCTATCTTGGAGAAAAAAAAAAAAGAAAGATTGACTTGCCTCTGGAACAGTGGCCTCCAGATCTCTCAGATACCCTGCCATGTGATCTTATCTGAGGATTTGTCAATAACTCTTGTTTGTCCCACTTCTTGCACTGTGAGGGAAATGCCATTTCAACTATAAACAGTGATGATATATTACAGAAGGTCTGAATGAAGTGGGCTATAGGATCTACGTGTGCTTTGTGACAGGAAAAGTGTATGTTAAGCATTTGTAAGATTATAGAAATATCTGTGATGGCACCTTTGCAGATTCTTTTGGACTGCAACTTAGTAACCAAGTAATATATTTTTGAAAGCCCTCAGTTCTGTTTGTTTGCCATAAAGTTTATTGAGGATAATCTATGTCACATACAATTAACGTACAGATTTTAAGTTTGATAACAAATGGAACCACCACCTCAGTAAAGATATTAAACATTTTTTTTTTCTTTTTTGAGACGGAGTTTCGCTCTGTCGCCCAGGCTGGAGTGCAGTGGCGTGATCTTGGCTCACTGCAACCTCTGCCTCCTGGGCTCAAGTGATCCTCCCACCTCAGCAGCTGGGACTACAGGTATGCACCACCACGCCCGGCTAGTTTTTGTTATTTTTTTTTGTAGAGATGGGGTTTCACCATGTCCAGGCTGGTCTTGCACTCCTAAGCTCAATTAATCTGTCTGCCTTGACCTCTGAAAGTGCTGATATTACAGGTGTGAGCCATTGTACCTGGTCATCAGTACTTCAGTGCTGTAATTTTACAACTTTTAAAGATAATCTAATTTATTTGAATTGCTATGTATAATATTACATTGTAAGAATATGACAATTTTTCAAACCCACTTTCTTATTAATGAACATACAGATTTTCTCATTTTTCCTCATTTTAAACAATACAGCAGTGGATATTTTGGGGCATATGAATGAGTTTCTCTGTTATATGTCTAAAAATGGAGTTGCTGATTTGTAGAATATGTTTGCCTTAATTTTCTTTGCCATATTTCTCTCTGAAGTTGTAATAACAGTTTACTTGTCATTGGGGTTGTATTTCCTTAACTAGTCTTTTTTCATATTCATTATGTTTTCGTATTTCCTCTTTGTTGAACTGCTTGTTCATCCCTTTACCCACTTTTTCATAGCATTATTTGTCTTGTACTGATTTGTGGAATTCTTTATGTGTTCTCGATATTAACTCCTTACTGGTTTTATATGTTGCAGATGTTTTTCTAGTCAGAGACTTATCTTTTAATTTTGATACCTTGTGTAGAAATTAAAAATTTTTTAATGGGGTCACGTTTGTCAAATTTTACTTTCTGGTTTGTGTATTGTATATCTTATTTAAGAAACCCTTGCAATTATAAAGATATTTGATATTCTCAAAGTTTAAAAGTTTTACTTTTTACATTTAGGTCTTTAATATGGACTTGATTTTTATCTGAAGTAGGAGACAGAAATCTAATTTTCCCCCCATTTGAATAGTCAGTTGTCCCCAAACTATTTATTCACTAATTCATTATTTCCCTTTGCTGAATTAGCCAATTTCCTTATGTATGTATGCTGCGTATACTTCTTTACTCTCTATTCTGTATATTGTTTGTCTATTCCTGTGCCAGTGTTCCATTGCTTTTATTACTTTAAGTTTTTTTTTTTTTTTTTTGGTGACGGAGTCTTGCTTTGTCACCCAGGCTGGAATGCAGTGGTGCAATCTGGGCTCACTGCAACCTCTGCCTCCTGGGTTCAAATGATTCTCCTGCCTCAGCCTCCTGAGTAGCTGGGATTACAGGCATGCACCACCATGCCTGGCTGATTTTTGTATTTTTAATAGAGATGGGGTTTCACCATATTGGCCAGGCTGGTCTCGAACTCCTGACCCTTGGGTGATCTGCCTTTCTCAGCCTCCCAAAGTGCAGGAATTACAGGCATGAGCCACCATGCCCAGCCTACTTTTAAGTTTAAAGAAGGTTTGATATCTGGTAAAGATTGCCCCCTTCTTCTTCAGAATTATGCTGACTCTTCTTGATCCTTTGCTGCTCTTTTTGAATTTTAGGATCAGCTTTTCCATTTCACTAGAAACCAACAATTATCAAAAAACTTGAGATTTTGTTTCAAATTGCATTAAGTTTGTAGATTAATTTGGAGAAAATTGGCATCAATGGTTTTGAGTCTTATTGGCTACTCATGATATATTTTTCTGTTTACTTATGTCTTTTTTATATACTTCAATAAAGTTCTGTATTTTTCTCTCTAAAGTTGTGTTTTAAAGAAACAGCTTTATTGAGGTATAATTTACATACCATAAAATTCACCACTGTCTAAAGATCTTGCATATCTCTTGTTGGATTTAATACTAGGTATGTTTTAGTTTTTATTCTAGGTTCCTTATGGTTATTGTGAGTAGCATCTTTGCTTTTGAAAATTTTTGTTATTGGTACATAGGAAACTTTTAACCTATTTTCTTGGTTTTGGCTGGCAGGAAAAATTTTTTTAAAGAAACTTGAAAAGGACTGGGGACTTTTTATTTTCTGTCATGAGCTAGGATAGGAGAGAAAACTTCATTGCAACATATGATGGCTTGAAAGCCCAGTCCCAGGAGCTTGAAGAAGATAAAAGCAGTGATAAGGAACCCTCCAAACACTTATGCTAAGTGTTCACAGTGGCAGAAAGAAGAGTCTGTCCCTAACTCTTCTCTTCCCTTCCAGTTTATCTATGGCATCACTCTTTATTTATACATTCATTTATTTTTTCATATGCTTTTAAGTTAAAATACGGAGTTCTTACTATACACTAGGCACCGTGTAGGCATTGGGGATGAAAGTTTTTAATGTGTAAAATTAAATTTTACAAAAGAGTACTGAGAAAAATATAAAGACGGCAAGTTGGCTAGCCTCCCAGCTAGGCTGTCAAAAAACTATAACACTTCACACAGGTTTTTCTTATATATTTTTGTATTTAAGCCTCATAGGTATCATTATTCTCATTTTTATAGGGAATGAATGTTAAGTAACTTTACTGATCAATTTGTTTTTGACAAAAAATAAATTAACTACAAAATATGATTTTTAATTGCTTATAAAGTGCCTTTGATTTTGATTCCTTTTGTGTAAATCTTAATAATTTTCTTTGTCTTTGAGCATTGCATAAAAAGGCATTGTATAAAAGGATATCTGTCTCCATATTTTACGAAAGAATACTTCAAGAGAACCACTTCAAAGTCAGTCCACATGTGTAGTGGTACACCTCACAGCAGCCATCTCAGTTTGTGGGAACCTCCTGTGCCTTGTTACTTTTTAATATAAGTGAAAGCTTCTGATAGGCAGACTGTGAGAAAATCATCTGGGACAGAAATTGAAGACATGCAGGAAATCTGCAGTGATTGTTTCAGCAATGACTTAAATTTCTACGCTTAGATTTATTTTTTAATTCAAGCTATTCTCTTGAAGATTCTGGTCACTTGATCTTACTTTTTATACTCTTTCAACTATTCTGGAATGTATTAGGAGATTATGAAATTCATGAAAGATTAACAATCGAACTTTTTTCAATAGTCTAGGATTTGGAGTATGATTCTCATGAAAGGAACTTTTCTTCACGCAAAAAAGTTTCAGAGAGGAATGTTACTCAAACTAAACATATTTAATAAAGCTGATACTTGCATTTCTCCCTTGTATGGATAAAAAGTCATTTAATTTTTTTCATTTTGTTTTAGTCACTGTATATATGGCTTATTTCCTGGGTCCACGGGAAGCATGAGTCTGTTGGGACTTGGGGCAAGAAGAAGACAAGACATCTTAACAAGGAAAACCAAGCACTAAAAAAAGTATCCCCCCAACTCTGAAGAGATAGAGCATAAACATGGCCGACAGTGGACTTAGGGAACCTCAAGAGGGTAAGACTGATTTGTCTAGCACTGAGGGTGCTGCTGTAGGAAACCAGGGCTGTGCAGAGAGAGAAAATCTCTGACTAAAATCTGAGGTTTTGAAGTAAAAAAGCTAATTCAGTGGATTCATTTGTTTTTATTATACTTATTCTTTCAAATTTACTGAATTTACTATAATGTGAACCCTAATTATAATATAAGGAAGATAAATGTTTTAGAGACTCTAATAGTAGGGACTTACAGTAATAGAAAAATGCAATGCTCTATTTAGAAGGGATCTTTCTTTCCTTTTCTTTTTTTTTTTTTTTAATGTCACCCAGGCTGGAGTGCAGTGGCGTGATCTCAGCTCACTGCAACCTCCGCCTCCCGGGCTCAAGTGATTCTCATGCTTCAGCCTCCAGAGTAGCTGGGATTACAGGCACCTGCCACCACACCCAGCTAATTTTTGTGTTTTTAATGAGACGGGGTTTTGCCATGTTGGCCTGGCTGGTCTCGAACTTCTGACCTCAAGTGATCTACCCGCCTTGGCCTCCCAAAGTGCTGGGATTACAGGCATGAACTACCACTCCTGGCCTTAGATCTTTCAGTTATGGGTAAGAATTAAATTTTAGTTCATCCTGCTTATATTTTATATAGGAGATAAAGGCAAAATATGAAATAGATTTTCCAGAAGAGAAAGAGGACATTTATTTAAAATCTTTGTTATGGGAGTTAAAAAATATATTAAAGTAGAGGCCAGGTGCGGTGGCTCACGCCTGTAATTCCAGCCCTTTGGGAGACCGAGGCAGGTGAATCACATGAGGTCAGGAGTTCGAGACCAGCCTGACGAACATGGAGAAACTCCGTCTCTACTAAAAATACAAAATTAGCTGGTTGTGGTGGTGCATGCCTGTAATCCCAGCTACTTGGGAGGCCGAGGCAGGAGAATCGCTTGAACCCGTGAGGTGGAGGCTGCAGTTAGCTGAGATCGGGCCATTGTACTCCATCTAGCCTGGGCAACGAGAGCGAAACTCTGTCTCAAAAAATAAATATAAGAGTAGAATAGTATAATGAACCCCTATGCACTCAACATCCAGCTTCAACTGTTACCAACATAATGCTGATCTTGTTGCCTGCCCTGGATTATTTTAATGTACATCCATGATATTACATCATTTTATTTGTAAATAGTTTACATCTCCTAAAGATAGATTCTTCGTAGATTATTTTTTTTTAAATAACCAAAATATCATCACACCTAAAAAAATAGACTAACAATTATTCCTTCATGTCATCTCATATCCTGTCATTATTCATATTTCTCAAAGTGTCTCATAATTTGTTTTTTCTTGACAGTTGGGCCACACATTACATTTGATTTCTTATAGCTTCTAGGTTGTTCTTTTTTAAAGTTGTATTATAGAAAATTTCAGGGCCAGGCTGGGTGGCTCACGCCTGTAATCCTAGCACTTTGGGAGGCTGAAGCAGGTGGATCTCAGGTCAGGAGATCGAGACCATCCTGGCTAAGACGGTGAAACCCCGTCTCTACTAAAAATACAAAAAATTAGCCGGGCGTGGTGGTGGGCACCTGCTACTCAGGAGGCTGAGGCAGGAGAATGGTGTGAACCTGGGAGATGGAGCTTGCAGTGAGCCGGATCGCGCCACTGCACTGCAGCCTGGGAGACAGAGCAAAACTCCGTCTCTAAAAAAAAAAAAAAAAAAATTAAAACGCATAGAAAAGTAGACAGAGATAAAGCGAACCTCTGTGTACCCATTAAACAGCTTCATATGCTATCAACATATAGCTAACATATAGTGGAGTAAAGAAAAAAACACGAAAACATATGGCTAATATGGTTTCATCCATATGCCCTCATTTCTCCCTTCCCCTATGTTGTTTAGTTGAAGCAAATCCTGGCTATCCATAATTTTAGTAATAAATACTTGAATATATCTCTGAAAGAGGATTCTTTTTAAAAAATGTAATTACAATACCTTTATCACACCTAAAAAGATGAATCATAAATCCTTCATGTCATCAAATATCTGGCATTCAGATATTCCTGATTGTGTCATAAATATTTCTTTAATGATTGGCTTTTTCGAAACTGGATCTAGACATCGTAGTCCACATATTGTATTTGGTTGATGTGTCTCTTAAGTCTCTTAATCAATAAGTTAAGAGACTCCTGTTTTCCCCTTTTCTTGCCATTTATTTTAATTTCTTACTGTTTTTTATTTTTATTTTTATTTTTTCATTTTTTTTGAGATGGAGTTTCGCTCTTGTCGCCCAGGCTGGAGTAAAATGGCGTGATCTTGGCTCACTGCAACCTCCACCTCCCGGATTCAAGCGGTTCTCCTGCCTTAACCTCCCGAGTAACTGGGATTACAGGCACCCGCCACCACGCCTGGCTAATTTTTTATATTTTTAGTAGAGATGGGGTTTCACCATGTTGGCCAGGTTAGTCTTGAACTCCTGACCTCAGGTGATTCACCTGCCTCAGCCTCCCAAAGTGCTGGGATTACATGCATGAGCCACCATGTCTGGCCATTCTCACTTTTATTAAAGAAACAAAGTCTTTTGGAATTTCCCACCTGCTGGGTTTTACTGATTATATTCTTGAGGCATAATTTAGTGTATTCCTCTATCCCTGTATTTCTTGGAAACTGGTAGCTCTAGAAGCTTATCAGATTTAAGTTCAGTTGTTTGGCAAGAATACTTCCTAAGTGGTCTAGAGTACTTCTTACTGCATTGTATTAGGAGGTTAATGACATCTGTTTGGGTTTCGCTGTTTTCATGATGTGAATTCAGATTGGTCACTGGGTTCAGCAGTTGTCAGTCTGGCTCATCCACCATAAAAGTCCCCATCAGCCTTTTGCATAAGGTTTTGCTACCATTGATGAGCATTACCTTTCATTAGGGAAGAGGATATATTTAATATAACCAAAAGTTGGTTCTGTCATATAAATTGTTTTATATTAGTGTCATTTTGTATTTATTAACGTAAGTTTTTTGTTGCTGTTTTAATCACCTTTAGTGGGAGCCAAGAGAAATAATGTTTAGGAAGAGTGTCTTGTAAACCATGAAAATCTATGTAAATATTATTAAACAGGGAGCTTTTTAAAATATAAATTTATGGAGAATTTTTTCCAATAAAAATTATAAATTTTTGTCTCAATAGACTCTCAAAAGGATTTGGAAAATGATCCATCAATAAATTCTCAGGCACAGGAGACCACAATCATGGCAAGTAATGCTGAGGAAGCTCAGACCCTACACTCTGCCTGTGATCTTAGCAAAGACCACCAAAGGGTGGAGACAGTGGGTCCGGAAAGTGCAGATACAGGTGATAAATCCGAAAGTCCAGATGAAGCAAATGTGGGGAAACATCCAAAGGATAAAATAGAAGATGAGAACAACCAGAGTTTTCTGGATGGTGAAAAAGGGCATCACCTCCCTTCAGAAAATCTGGGTGAAGAACCCTTGGATCCAGATCCCAGCCCTTCTCCAAGTGACAAGGTAGGAAGAGCAGATGCACACTTAGGGAGCAGCTCTGTGGCCCTCCCTAATGAAGCAAGTGACGGAACTGGAGCATCTCAGGAACCACCTACTACAGACTCCCAGGAGGCCCAGAGTCCTGGTCATTCCATTACAGGGCAAGAGGGCGAGGATACACTGAGGAGGCGACTGCCGGCCCCAGGTAAGAGAACCCCTGAACTACTCTCCTGTTTTGTATTGCTCTGTTAACTGAGAAAACAGCAGAAGTCAGAGGCCGTCTTTCCAGAGAACTTTTGTCTATCTTTCATAGGATTAAGGCCTTTGGGCCTTGCCCAAGCTCACACAGAGCCATATGACTGAGTTGATTTTAGAATGAGTTTTCTCATCTAGGCTAGCTCATTCCACTGTATTAAGTTGCTTCCTACACATAAACTGCATTTCTAAGCAATGTTTTTATTAACTGTTTATATTGATGTGATATGACAAAAAGGGGCATGACTTTTAAAAAATTCGCTTCTAGTTTTTTATTTCTTATGAGAATATTTTGACATAATTTTAAAAATCTTTTACTTTTTGGTAAACTAACTGTTACATAAAGCAAGACATGGGTATAGTTAAAAATGAGCATTAATGGGACAGTGTCCTTAACTCAGTCATGTTTCAGTTTTATAGGACTTTGAGTAAGTCAGTTAGTTTCTCTATACCTGGTTTTTTCTGCCTATATGTTAAGAGGAACGAGCATGTCTTCCCTGATGAAGGTAAGCGTTGCAGGGTGCTAAATCCTTAACAGGAACTCAAGAGGTGTGAATTCTGGTTGTGGCCCTACCACTTGCTAACTTGGGTGACCTTGGGAAAGTCTCTTCCCTTCCTGGTGCTTCAATTTCCTATTTGTAAAATGAAGAAGTTGGATAAGATGATATCCAGGGATTCTTCTAGGTGTCACCTTCTGTGATTGTGTGTGGATTTGTATTTTATAAGCGCTCTGAAGAGCTCAGTCTGAAATGCCCATTTGCCAGTGCAAAAGAATATAAAATATAAGACACTCTGTTCATCAGGGACTTCAGCAAGGGCTAGTAATTCATGTTTCACTGCAAATCAATGACTAATCTCAAATATATGTTTTATTTATTAATCATTAGAATAATCTGTAACTTCAGTGAAGGCAAGGACTGTGTCACTGTCATTCATTGTGTATCTCTGGCACCTGGCACATAGAAACACCTTTATAAATTTTGTCAAATGAATGAATGTGATTTGTATGGACCATGACCTGTGTCAGAATTTCACTGTTATGAGCTAGGTGCAATTACTTATGCCTCTAGTCCCAGTTACTTGGGAAGCTGAGTTGGAAGGATTGCTTGAGCCCAGGAGTTTGAGCCTGCAGTGTGCTGTGATCACCCCTGTGAATAGCCACTGCATTCTAGCTAGCCTGGGCAATGTAGTGAGACCCCATCTCTTTAAAAAAATTCACTGTTAGGCAGGTTCACTGTGAGTAGAAAAAAATATTGTTTAAAAAAATCCAGTTTAGGCCAAGAGCAGTGGCTCACTCCTGTGATCCTAGCACCTTGGGAGGCCAAGGCTGGTGGATCACTTGAGGCTAGGAGTTCAAGACCAGCCTGGGCAAAATGACAAAAACCCATCTCTCCAGTAAACACAAAAACAGCTGCGTGCACTTGTAGTCCTCAGGAGGCTGAGGTGGGAGGATTGCTTGAGCCCGGGAGGTTGAAGCTGTGGTGAGCCGAAATTTCACCACCATACTGCAGCCTTGGTGACAGAGTGAGACCCTGTCTTTTAAAACAAAAATGCAGTTTATGTATGGAAAGCAACTTACTATAGTTGAATGAAGTTATCTGTACTCTAAGAGATGAGAAACCTTGTTTTCATCTCAACTTAGCTACATCTCCTTATGTGACCTTGGGTAAGATCTTCCCTGTACCTTTTTTCATGATAGGTTAAGTAGTGCAGCCGGGGTATGTGTCCATTATAGATCCTTTCAGTTCTGAAATTCCATGATATGATATTTTAAGAACCTACTTTTTGGGGTGATATGAGCAATCCTTTATAAGTGAAGATGATCCTACTTATCTGTGCTAATAGAAGTACCTGGCTGGGGTTAAGCACAAATTTAGAGTCTAGTGTGATTTAGCTTAGAGTGCTAAAAATTGTTGCCCGTCTTTTCACCCACATATTTTAAGCTTGGCGTGCCCACCCTACACCTGGATTTTTACATATTTTGTGAATTTTCTTCACCTTATATTCCTTGCTTTGTATATCTCCTTCACTAAGAGTTTCAAATTTGCTTTTATAAGCTATTTTGCAACTGTACAGTAATCTCTCCTATCTCAGAACTTAGTGCTTCTGTTATTTTTATATTTGGGGTCTTGAGGGACCATGTGAAACTCGAACACTGGAATTAGAGCACAATTACCCTGTGAAGTTGAATCTCGTGTATAGTCAACATTTCTTAAATCCCTTCTTAATTTTATACATTTTGCTGAATCACATTTTAGGTAAGTTTGGCCGCAGTATTTAAATGTCTTTGTCTTTGATATAAGAGGCAGTGAGGAATTGTGAATATAGCAACATTATCCTTGAATGAATTTCACAGCATTTCATTTTATTCTTCTAAGTAAAATAAGAGTAATAGTCTTAAAGAAAAGACAGGAAAAATGTTAACTTTGGTTTTTTTTGAGGTAGAGTCTTGCTCTGTCCCCCAGACTGGAGTGCAGTGGTGTGATGTCGGCTCACTGCAACCTCTGTCTCCCGGATTCAAACGATTCTCCTGCCTCAGCCTCCCGCGTAGCTGGGATTACAGGCACCCACCATCATGCCTGGATAATTTTTGTATTTTTAGTAGAGAAAGGGTTTCACATTTTTGGCCAGACTGGTCTTGAACTTCTGACCCCAAGTGAGCCACCTGTCTCAGCCTCGCAAAGTGCTGGGATTATAGGTGCGAGCCACCGTACCTGGCTAAGGTACAGAAATCCTTTTAGTCAAATCATTGTTTGGTTTGGTGAGAGATATAAAGGTATACATACTGTCATTAGTGTACTGCCTAAAAATAATATTGATTCTTTTCCTCTCCAGAGGCTGGAAGTCATCCACAACAAACACAAAAATTGGAAGAAATTAAAGAGAATGCACAGGACACCATGAGACAGATTAATAAAAAGGGTTTTTGGAGCTATGGTGAGAACAAACCTGGTTTTACTGCAGTGTTGATTCACATTCAGAAATCCTCAGTGAAAATGCCTAGAAAACTAGCAGATTTAAACAGTTTTAACATTGTGTTTACTACATACACTTATTTAATGATTGGTAGTAAGTCATAGTAAAATAGAAAAATAGAGTTTTAGGGATTTTTCCCTTAAGGGTACTGGCTGATATTTTGCTGTGATTAACAAAATGGAATTTCTCACAGTAGGAAAAGCTTTTCCTAAATCAGAAACAAAAACTGCCTTTCTAATTAGAGAATATTAAATTTTCAAGTGCATTTTAAAGTTATGACTCCTAAAAAAAAATGGTCAGCTATAGGTAGTAGGTGCATTGAGAAGATAGAAGAAAATCTTGATCACTTACGTCTAAATTACATCATTATTTATAACAACAAATACATAGACTCAGCTTTTACCTTTTATTTTTTTAAATTTTTTACTGAGTACTTAACTCTTCCATGAAGGTTTTGTCTTTCAACAAAGATATCTTCAAATAATTAAATCTGAGAAGAGATTAGAGAAGAGGTACTTCTGGTGGATTAAAAGTTTAAACAATTTATGCAAAAGAAACTTATTGCTCCTAGTAAAACCTGATGGTATTTCTGCCTCATTTTAGTTTACCATAGGCTTTGTTTCTGGCTTGTGTTCTCTGTAATTTTCTGTTCTTTTCTCACTCTTTTGACAGGCCCTATCTTTCTTCTCTTCCTGGTTGTGGCTGTTGTGGCAAGGAATAGCTACTATTCCTCTCCAGCCCAGCAAGTGCCCAAAAATCCAGCTTTGGAGGCCTTTTTGGCCCAGTTTAGCCAATTGAAAGATAAATTTCCAGGCCAGAGTTCCTTCCTGTGGCAGAGAGGACGGAAGTTTCTCCAGAAGCACCTCAATGCTTCCAACCCCACTGAGCCAGCCACCATCATATTTACAGCAGCTCAGGAGGGAAGAGAGACCCTGAAGTGCCTGAGCCACCATGTTGCAGATGCCTACACCTCTTCCCAGAATGTCTCTGCCATTCAGATTGATGGGGCTGGAAGGACCTGGCAGGACAGTGACACGGTCAAGCTGTTGGTTGACCTGGAGCTGAGCTATGGGTTTGAGAATGGCCAGAAGGCTGCTGTGGTACACCACTTCGAATCCTTTCCTGCCGGCTCCACTTTAATCTTCTACAAGTATTGTGATCATGAGAATGCTGCCTTTAAAGATGTGGCCCTGGTCCTGACTGTTCTGCTAGAGGAGGAAACATTAGAAGCAAGTGTAGGCCCAAGGGAAACTGAAGAAAAAGTGAGAGACTTACTCTGGGCCAAGTTTACCAACTCTGACACTCCCAGCTCCTTCAACCACATGGACTCAGACAAGTTGAGTGGGCTGTGGAGCCGAATTTCACACCTGGTACTGCCAGTCCAGCCAGTGAGGAGCATTGAAGAACAGGGGTGCCTTTTCTAAAGCTAAGCACAAAGTTGGTTATAGAGGGTGTATGTTTATGAAAAAGTTTGTTTAAAGGCCTTTCATTTATATGGAAGGAGGTTGATAAAATAGGTTGAGGAAATAGCCTGAAAAACAAAAATGAGCTTATTTTAGAAACAAGTTTTTATTTTTTACTTCTTGTAAAATCTTTCTAATCTAAGCCTTGACAAAACTAAAAATTAACTGACTTTTTTTCTTTGCCTTTTGGACCAAATCAGGTTTGAAGTATGGATGATATATATGAGAATTTTTTTAAAATTCTAAAATATAGCAACATTGCACAGGAAGATACTCTTACTTCTTAGAGTAACTACAGAGTGATTTTTTTTTCTTGAGTGAGCCTCTGAAGAGCCTTTTGGATGCTGTTTGGACTTGGATGAAAGCAATTAGAATTATGAAGCAATGATCACTTTTAGAAAATTTTTCTATCACATGTTGAATATTTTCAAAACCTCACTTTAATAATCTAAAGTTATGGGATTATATCTTATATTAATTTTACAGTTTTGAGGAGTATGATAAAAGAAATAAGAATTCAAACCATTAAGTACCTACCTATACTACATGTAAGGCACTGTGCTTTTATTCCATTCAGCTGAGGTATAAGTGTACCTCAGTACAGAATAAGCAGCTGTACTCAAACATTCTTAAAAATGAGAACCAATGGGGAAATTGTTTATAATCATTGGAAATGAAGAAATTCCAATTGGCTATATCTTTACTTCAGCTTTTCTTGAATGATTTACAGCAGTAATTTTCAAACTGTGTCTACTGGCACCCTTCCCCTTTGTATCAGAGCAGTTCTGCTTTTAACTGTTTTATATGTCAGGCTCTATGAGATTTCATTGGAACAAAGAGTTTCACTGATACTCAAGTTTGAAAACCATTAAGTGAAAAAACATCTTAGAAGATAGGAAATATGTAAAAAAATTGAATGTATTAAATCTTATGAGTAGGAAGATGAAATACAGGTTTATCATATAGATATATTGTTTATGAACACTAAAGATCTATACATGAACAGCAGAATGTATAAGCTAGCATTTACTAGCATGTCTCTGATGCTTTTGTTCATTTCTGTTAGTCATCATTTTTGTCCCCTCTGCATGGAATTTTATACTTGTCTAGGGTGAGAGTTTGTAGACTTTCAGCAGAACATATTTTAATAACCAATTTATTTGTTTTATTTTAAAAAATTATTTTTGAATAACCAATTTAATAGTAAATTTTATATGAACACTTGGCATAACTTTACCAAACAGTTTATTTCTATGCAGTGATGGAACATTATGTAATACAGCTCATTTCTTGACCACCTAGTTATAGAAGTACCATTAAGTTAAAAATTAGAGAAATCCAAGAGATGTTATACTTAATGAGAGGAAGCAGAAATGGTGGGTAGATTCTCAGAGGTTTTGATGTTCAGTAGTGACTGTTGGACCATGTTCTGTGATTGTAAGAAATATTGAAAACAGTTTGTATGGAGACAGTAGGTGATTAGCATTTGAGCTCTGAAAGCAGAACTCTAGTAAAATGATCTCGACCTAACAAAGGGTCTGTTCTATTATATAGACTATTCCCATAATCCTGGAATGTTTCAACTAGGTTTTGGCCTCTCCATTATATGAGCTCATGTATATATTTAAGAAGTCTGATTAAAGTATGGAAAGATTTTAGGAAACACTAAGACAATACAGGCATCTTTATTGATACCTAAAAAGTTTACAATTGAGTAATTGCTTAATTGAGTGTAGGGGCATACCTGAAGGAAGAATTTGCATTTGGGACTTTGAAGGAATCTTCCAAGAGATTTGGGAAAAGACCTGAACAAAAAGTTAAAGCATAGTGAATGTAATATAAATGTCAATCCAGTATAAAAGCAGAGGAAACGAAGGAAAATATATACCATATGCACATTTTTTCTGTCTTTTTAGATCTTAGATGCTAACATTACATCCACAAAACCAGTGTTGCCTTGTACAACTATTATATTGGCCTGCTGACCTGTGCTACCTCAGATCTGTAAAGGAACCAGTATGACGCATATTCTTGTTTCGTCATTCGGTCGAATATGGTTTTTCATCATTTCCTTTCAAAATAATTTAGAAAAATAAATTTCTAAAGTCACAATGGCTTTTATTTAGCCTTTTTAAAAACACTTTTCCTTCCATGTGTAGTGCAATCAATTGAGAGTGTTGTCAGTTTTCTGTCCACTATTTCAAAAGTCGTTTTTTTTTTTAGATGGAGTCTCACTCTGACTCCCAGGCTGGAGTGCAGTGGCTTGATTATAGCTCACTGTAGCTTTAAACTCCTGGGCTCAAGCAATCCTCCCACCTTAGCCTCCTGAGTAGCTGGGACTACAAGTGCATACTACCACACCACTCTACCACTCTGTTTTGTATAGAGACAGGGTCTCACTGTGTTGCCCAGGCTGGTCTTGAACTCCTGGCCTCAAGTGACCCTCCCACCTCGGCCTCCCAAAGTGTTTGGATTACAGATGTGACCCAATGCATCCAACCTCAAACTTTTTTTTTTTTCTTTTTTTTTTTTTAGAGAAGGTCTTGCTCTGTCACCCAGGCTGAAATGCAGTGGCGCAATTTCACCTCACTGTAACCTATGCCTCCTGGGTTCCAGTGATTCTTGTGCCTCAGCCTCCCGAGTAGCTGGGATTACAGGCACACACCACAATGCCCAGCTAATTTTTGTATTTTTATTAGAGATGAGATTTTGCTGTGTTCTCCAGGCTGGTCTCGAACTCCTGGCCTCAATTGATCTGCCCACCTTGGCCTTTCAAAGTGCTAGGATTATAGGCATGAGCCACCACACCTGGCCTCAAAAATCATTTTTAAAAGAAGCAGTATATTAGCTCTGGGTCTTCTCATTACTAAAATGACTTTTTAAACATGATACTATATTTTATAAATGTACAGATAATTCAAATCTATTATCTAATGTGTTCTCTTAGGTTAATTTCTATTTGTTTCTATTCTTTGTGTGTGTGTGTGTGTGTGTGTTGAGACGGAGTCTTGCTCTGTCACCCAGGCTGGAGTGCAGTGGCGCAATCTCGGCTCACTGCAAGCTCCGCCTCCCGGGTTCACGCCATTCTCCTGCCTCAGCTTCCTGAGTAGCTGGGACTACAGGTGCCTGCCACGACATCTGGCTAATTTTGTGTGTGTGTGTTTTTAGTAGAGACAGGTTTTCACTGTGTTAGCCAGGATTGTCTCCATCTCCTGACCTCGTGATCCGCCCGCCTCAGCCTCCCAAAGTGCTGGGATTACAGGCGTGAGCCACCGTGCCTGGCCTATTCTTTACATTTTTTAAGGTTTCAGATTTTCTTTTGTGTGTCTAGTGATTCATCTTTTATTGGCATAGATAATTTGCTTATTTGACTTAGAAAAATGATTTGTAGGCATACAATATCGTACATGATACCTAAACATTGCCATTTAGTTACTCTCCTAGAACAACTTTCATTACGCTGTCTATTAATATAAATTACCTCTTGAGTAATCCCAGAATCATAGAACCAATTGGTGGAATCAGAAACTGTCTTTGGACTTGAGGTTTTTCTTCCCTTAGGGTAAATTTTAGGTTTTCTGGTTAGTTTCCAGGGTTGGCAGAGAAGTTCATATCACTAAAGGGGTTCATATCACTAAAATAGTAATGCTAATTTGTTTCATATTTCTATTTTAAAAATCAATAAATTTCAATACATTTCATTTGAAGCCCCCAAGTTTATGGTGGTTAGTGAGGCTCAGCATGCCGGTAATCCACCATTCTCTCAGCTAATGACTCCACTAAATAGTGCCAGCCACTGAGATGGTTTTGACCTTTTAAACAACTTTTTTTTTTTTTTTTTTTTTTGAGACAGAGTTTCTCTCTTGTCCATGCTGGAATGCAATGGTGCGAACTTGGCTCACTGCAACCACCACCTCCCAGGTTCAAGCCATTCTCCTGCCTCAGGCTCCCAAGTAGCTGGATTACAGGCATGTGCCATCACGCCCAGCTAATTTTTGTATTTTTGGTAGAGACAGGGTTTCCCCACGTTGGCCAGGCTGGTCTCGAACTCCTGACCTCAAGTGATCTACCCGCCTCGGCCTCCCAAAGTGCTGGGATTACAGGTGTGAGCCACCGCACCCAGCCTAAACAGCTTTTAATTACTTGATTTATACTTTATTAAAGACAGGAAGCACAATGAGCAGTGATATTAAAATATAACAAATATAGCATGGGAAAGTGATAATTATTCAGATGATCTTCACCAGCACGGCATTTGTGTATATCTGTCCAAACTCTACGCCACATAGCAGGTCTCTGGCACTTCAAAAATGGATGTTAAATAGAAAATAATAAATAATAGCTGATTAGGGTAATCATTTATTTAATCGGAATAAAGATTATATCCATAAAATTTACTTGCAGAGAAATACTTTGTTTGAAAGACAGGGTCTCGCTCTGTCACCCAAGCTATGGTGCAGTTGGCACAATCACGGCTCACTGCAACCTGGACCTCCTGGCCTCAAGGGGTTGATCCTCCTACTTCAGGGATTACAGGCACACGCCACCATGCTCGGCTAGTTGAGAAGTACTTTCAAATAGCAACATGAAGCCTTTCTTTTATCATTTGAAAATAAAACATAGTTGTAAACATAAACCAGTATGTCTTTGTAAAGCCAGTAATATATCATTTTATAGGAGCATTGTCTTCTTGTGTTTTTCAAGTTGACTATGTAGTTCTATGTCAGTCTCCATTTTAATATCTCGTTTGTCAAGCTGAGCATATTTCATTTTGAAATGTAGTTGTTGAGAAGTCATGGTGGTTTTTTGTTTTTCACAATTCAAGTAGCTTGAACACTTGTCCAATGGGAAAGCTGATGCTTATCTTTGTGGCAAATGCTTGGTTGAATAATATATTTGCAAAGATGTTAATTCTAGAGAGAGCAAAATAAAGTTGAGATGTCTGTAAAACAGTTTCTCCAGATGACTTTAAGCCTTATTTTTGTAAATTTATGTTAAATTTTAGGTGTTAAGTTGTGAAATACCTAATGATATGGGCCTAAATTTGCCTCATTCGGACCAGACGGGGCTATTAAAATTCATTTCGAGCTAATAAACTGTGCTATAACTTCTTTGTATTATTATTATTATACTTTAAGTTCTAGGGTATATGTGCACAACGTGCAGGTTTGTTGCATAGGTATACATGTGCCATGTTGGTTTGCTGCACCCATCAACCCGTCATCTACATTAGGTATTTCTCCTAATGCTGTCCCTCCCCCAGCAGGCCCCGGTGTGTGATGTTCCCTGCCCTGTGTCCAAGTATTTTCTTTGTGCAGTTCCCACTTGCGAGTGAGAACATGCCATGTTGGTGAACTGTGCTATAACCTCTGTATCTCTATAGGCCAATCCAAATGGCCTGAGAACACAATCAGTATCCCCTAATCTGCAAAGAGGTAAATACCTTAGTCTTCAGTACCTTTCCTTCCAGTATTATCTGCGTTATCTGTGTCCTCTTGCTTTGATGTCTTGAAAAGCCCATAAATTGGTGCTTATTTGGCAAATGGTCTCCTGCTTTTCCTCACTGAGGCTTATAAACTAAATTTGCCTTTGGCTAAGAGCAGTTACATGAACCAAAAAGAACATTTTAGACTTGGGAAGCAACAGGCTGAGTCACATTGCAAGGGGCAGAGTTGGCCAGGCCCCCAGGCAGTCACAGCCCTACTCCCTGTGTTGCTTCTAGGCCTAAGGACGCATCAACACAAAGCTCTGGGCAGTTCCTCCTGGTTCATCAGAGAGCACAGGAAATTTAAACCCATTTGCCTTTCCTGTCATAGAAGAAACAGCACATTGACTTTCAAACCCAATTGCATTTGGCTTATTTGTACTTAAAAAATTTGGGCTTTGTCAGTATTAATGTCCCATTTCTTGGCACCCCCTTTCTTTATAACAGGGATTGCTTTTGTATTTGTTTCTTACAGGTGCTGATGAATGTGCCGTATTCAGATTAGTTGTCTGGTCATTACCAGAATAAAGAATAAATCTCCTCAATTTTTTTCAGTTGACTGATTCTTGATTAAACTTCCCAAAATAGCAGGTTTATAGAAATGGGCATGTGGTGATTAATGGTGGGAAAGGAAACTGCCCTCATATGGCAGTAAGATGAGAAGCTAGAGAATCCTGTGAGGGTTGTCAGGTGGCATTTGTGGCCATCAGTGAAATGGTACAGGGCAGACCCTGCCTAGAATCTGTTGCAGCTCTTGGTAGCATTCTTCGAGTGCTGTTCCTACTTAACGAGGCTTTCCTGACTATGGGAGAAACATTGGGGTTGTAAGCAGATCCCTGGGAATTGCTGCTACCCCAGCATGTGCTGTTGTGAGTGTGTGTGTGTGTTTTGAGACAAGGTCTTGCTCTGTTGCCCAGGCTAGAGTACAGAGGCGCCATCTCCCCTCACTACAGCCTCTGCCTCCCAGGCTCAGGCAATTCTCCTGTCTCAGCCTCCCAAGTAGCTGGGATTACAGACGCACACCACCATGCTGCGCTATATTTTTGTATTTTTAGTAGAGAAAGGGTTTCACCATGTTGTCCACCCTGGTCTCAAACCCCTGAGCTCATATGGATCTGCCTGCCTCAGCCTCCCAAAGTGCTGGGATTACAGGCGTGAACCACTGCGCCCAGCCTGTGAATGTGTTTTTTAAGTGTGGACATCCCTTACCTTGTGTGTTGGCAATGGGGGAGGTCGGGGTGTGTTCAGAGTTTCTCCCTTAAGATGTTGCCAAACCAGAATTACAGAGTAGAAGCACCTGAGTACCCATCTCAGCCCCTCACCCACCTTCTCCCAGCTTCCTGCCCCCCCACCCCCATCCATACCCAACTAAAACCAAAGATCTTATTAACACATTATATAGAATCGTTTTCTAACAAATCTGAATTGAGTTTTGAAAATCTGAAAGACTTGTTTTTGCAGTTTAGGAAAATAGGAACTTTGGGAGTTAGCATATCTTAACTTTAGCATATCTTAGCTTTCAGTGAAAGGAGCTAAAGTCAGGCGATAAGATGAGCCTGAAGGCAAAGAGCCTAGGATTTCCTAATACCATTCCACAAACATCAACAGGATCAGCAGCAACGAGATTTTCTTAATGCATAAACTCACCACTAGAGGGTATTACATACTAGTGTTCTGCTGTACACTAGAACAGACAGGCCTCAATACTAATAAGGGAGTGAGTGGCTCTGAATTATTTAGTTGCTGTAGGAATTGTGATTTTAAACAGGACACAATAAAAATGATTTCAAGTCTGAAGTTGCAGTTTGAGTCATAGAATGTTTGGTGCAGAAGCAGCTCCATCAAGCTAAACTGAGAAAAAATCTTGCTATTGGTCCAAGGTATTATCTACTTTAAGAAAAGGAAATGAGTAGGCAGATCCTATTATGTATATGTTCAGGGCACTCATTACTGTGGAATCTGCCCACATGGCTTTAGGGCTCACAGAAGGCCCCCATACACACACTAAAAATGAGGCACTAGCCGGGTGTGGTGGCTCACGCCAGTAATCCCAGCACTTTGGGAGGCTGAGGTTTGTGGATCCTTTGAGTCCAGGAGTTTGACACCAGCCTGGCCAACATGGTAAAACCCTGTCTCTACAACAAATGCAAAAAATTCGCTGGATGTGGTGGCACATGCCTGTAAGTCTCAGCTACTCAGGAGGCTGAGGTGGGAGGATCACCCGACCCTGGGAGGTAGAGGCTGCAGTGAGCCATGATTGCACCACTGCACTCCAGCCTGGGTGACCAAGTGAGACCCTGTCTTTTAAAAAAAGGCCAGGCACGGTGGCTCACGCCTATAATCCCAGCGCTTTGGGAGGCCGATGCGGACTGATCACGAGGTCAGGAGTTCAAGACCAGCCTGGCCAACATGGTGAAACCCCCGTCTCTACTAAAAATACAAAAATTAGCCAGGCATGGTGGCGGGTGCCTGTAATCCCAGCTACTCTGGAGGCTGAGGCAGGAGAATTGCTTCAACCCAGGAGGTGGAGGTTGCAGTGAGCTGAGATCACACCACTGCACCCCATCCTGGGCAACAGAGCAAGACTCCGTCTCAGGAAAAAAATAAAAAATAAAAGGCACTTTGTCCTTTTGACCTATATCTGACACTTTCTGGGATCACTAATTCTTAAGTATACAAATCAATATTTAAGATAAACCATTAATTCAGTAACATGTTTTATTATCGTATTACCTGAGATGCCATTTGAAGCTCTCACCTGGAGTCGGCACACCTCTGTAACTTCAAACATATAACAATAATAGGTAAAATATTTCAAGGAAAATTTTAGAAGACAGAGGCAGGCTCAAAACAAGATGCATCTTTGAGGGTCAGAAACAGAATAAAAACTCCAAGTGGTGAGCAGGGCTGAAGGCGCAGGCCTGTTGGACCTTGCATTTGAAGTCAGGCAGGCTGCTGGGGGCTTGGAGTTCTCACGTGAGGCTCACCAGGTTATGTAAACAGATTGCTTGTTAGAAGCCTGGCAATATTGGTATTGTTATCCGCAAATATTCAGTAATTAGTTTATTTCACACAGCCTTTAAAAAAACATCTTGTTTGAATGTCTTATATAAAGTATGCTACAAGTTAGTTTCTTTTTTTTTTTTTTTTTTTTTAAGAGATGACCTCTGTATTGTTCAGGCTGGACTTGAATTCCTGGGCTCAAGTGATCCTCCTGCCTCAGCGTCCTGAGTAGCTAGGACTATAGGAGCACAGCCCTCTGCCTAAGTTTTTTTTTATTTGAGACGGAGTCTCGCTCTGTTGCCCAACTAGAGTGCAGTGGTGCCATCTCTGCTCACTGCAACCTCCGCCTCCTGGGTTCAAGCGATTCTCCTGCCTCAGCCTCCCGAGTAGCTGGGACTACAAATGCATGACACCACGGCCGGCTAATTTTTTGTATTTTTAGTAGAGACGGGGTTTCACTGTGTTAACCAGGATGGTCTCGATTTCCTGACCTTGTGATGCACCCGTCTTGGCCTCCCAAAGTACTGGGATTACAGGCCTGGGGCTCTGCATCTGGACAAAGTTGACACTTTTAATACATCTTTACAAAATGTGAAGAATTCCTAATAGGACTTTTTGTTTAAATTTTTTTTTAAGACTCATAGCCTAAACAAAGTTAAATATAGTTTTTAAAGACTATTCTGTTAAGAGTACCCTAAATAATCATCTGAAGATGAGAATTATGTGTAATTTTTTATCTGCTTTGTATTATTTACATTTTAACGTATTAAAATGGCATTTGTTTGAAAAAGAATCTAATGTTTTTCTAAAGATATCTCAATGTTAACGACTGTCAGTTTATTTCCCTATTTTCAGGTTCATAATAATTTTTGTACATAAACTTTCTTGATCATAAATTATTGCAGCATTTTATTCTTGCAGTAATAACTGTTTATTACATTGAATGGTAGATTTTTATCTAATGCACACAAGGTGATTTCCACTTCAAGTTACATTATAGACTGCATATATATATTTGAAAGTGAATATTCAAATTTAACAAATCAATGACATGCTTCATTTGAATTGCTATAACTGAATATTCAAATTTAACAAATCAATGACATGCTTCATTTGA